GGAGGCCAAGGCAGGAGGATCGTTTGAGCTCCGGAGTTCGAGACCAGCCTGAGCAAGAGTGAGACTCTGTCTCAACTATAAATAGAAAGAAATTAGCCAAACAACTAAAAATAGAAAAAATTATCTGGGCACGGTGGTGCATGCCTATAGTCCCAGCTATCCGGGAGGCTGAGGCAGGAGGATTGCTTGAGCCCAGGAGTTTGAGGTTGCTATGAGCTAGGCTGACGCCACAGCACTCTAGCCTAGGCAAGAGAGTAAGACTCTGTCTCAAAAAAAACAAAGAGAATCTGATTACAGACTTGAATAATCATCCTGTGAATGTTATAATACTATAATACTATAATACTATAACTGAGGCCCATTTCTAAAATTGATTAAGAGATTTTAACCCACCATTTTATCTTAAATTTTTAAACTGGAAATTTTTTTAAGTTCGTCTACTGTTTTGTGAAATATAGGGACACCTTGTTTAAGAATACATAATGTGAAAAGGCATATTTTGTTAAACTAATAAGTAGTATTTTTATTGCAAGCATAATTTCCTTTAAGTGAAAGATTTCTAGCATTTTAAAATTTTAGAGTCTTTATTTTTTTTTTTTTTTTTTGAGACAGAGTCTCACTGTGTTGCCCCGGCTAGAGTGCCATGACGTCATCATAGCTCACAGCAACCTCAAACTCCTGAACTCAAGCGATCCTCCTGTCTCAGCCTCCCAAGTAGCTGGGACTATAGGCATGTGCCACCATGCCTGGCTAATTTTTTCTATATATTTTTAGTTGTCCGATTAATTTCTTTCTATTTTTAGTAGAAACGGGGTCTCGCTCTTGCTCAGGCCGGTCTTGGACTCCTGAGCTCAAACGATCTGCCCACCTTGGCCTCCCAGATTGCTGGGATTACAGGCGTGAGCCACCGCGCCTGGCCTAGAGTCTTTATATTTTTATAGGCAATATTTCAAAGGCAGATCTTTCTAACTTTTAAATGGCACATTCTGATAGAGTGGAATCAGAAAACCTGGGTCCACATTCCTAGTCAACACTAGGAAAACAGTGGCGACCTTGGGAACGTTACATAGTCACTCTGAGGCTCGGTTTCCTTCACTATAAAATGAGGATAATTAGTACCTCCTGAGTTTGTTACCAGAATAAATAAAATGAGATGACATACAAAAGCATCTGGTACATAGTAGGTATACTTTTTTCCCTTTCAGATAAAACAAAGTGTAAGCATTGCTGTTGTTATTTTCTCTGGGAAGTGAAAAGGCTATTTTATGCCCTGGTAGGTAAAGACAGTGGAGAAGGAAGTGCTAGAAAAATAGTTTGAGGTGAAGTAGTGAAGACAGCTCAGGGGAGTGGGAGGAGGGGAAGCGCTGGAGTAAGCCCCTTCTGTACTGAGGGAGCTGGATGGTTTTCCTGGTTATAGAGCCATTCTTGTCATAGAAGCTGTGGAAACAACACCCTTGTGTCATTTTAGTCTTTCAAATAGGTTAGCACCGAGACACTGGCTGTGAAAAGGAGCCCAGTGGTCATCCCCTGAGCATTGAGCGAGTCGCAGATGTGTGCCCTGGGCAGTGCTAGACAATGGAATGAAGCAGCACATCCTGAGCGGTGCCAGGAGGAACCCTGTGACTTTGTCCCAGGAATAGAGCTGATGCCCGTGCTGTCTCCTTGCTGCTTCAGTTAGCATTTAGCTGGTACCGTAAAGGAAACTTGATCGAAGTTCATAATTGCACAGAACTGAGCAACGTTGCCATCTCTCGGTGTAAATCATTGCCTAATTTCCTCGATTAGGGGTAAAACCCATAGATTGGTATGTGGTTTTATAGGAGTAGGGAATCTATATCCTGCTGAAGTGAAAGAGAAGAAATGAAGCCAACTCCTGCCAGTGTCACCTCCAGGTTGGAAAGCAGCCCCTAAAATAGGGAATGGGGACTTGAAAATCAAATGATGCAACCCCTAAGAGAAATTAGCATGAAATAGGCATTCCTAATATTAACAATTCTTATTTTAGCTGAATTGTTTTATGACCTATTGTTTATCTCCTTTCTATATTTGAATATTGAAAGCAAATCCTTACTTTCTTCATCCTCTCTAACGATGGCAAACTGCTGCCCCAGCTGCTGCGTATCCCTGGTGCAGTTGCTGGCGATTGTACTCTGCTGCAGTGTGGCCCTGAGGTTAAGGGCGTGGGCTTTGCAGTCAAACCTGAATTTGAACTCCAGTTTTGCCACTGTGTGACTTTCGGAAGTCATTTCTTCAGTCTTGCTTTTCATGTGTAAACCAAGCATAGCGTTAGGACTTACCTCAGAGGATGGTTTTGAGAATTGAAAGGGAAGAACAAGGAGTGTTTAGTCTGGTGTCGGGTCCCTTATGAACACTCATTAAATGCAGCCGCTATTGGTACTATCAATTGGATACAGAATTAGAGAAGATGAGTCCTAAAATAGAGCGTGAAGACAATGGGGCCAAACTGGAATTCTTTCTTCTTTACCCTCTGAGGTCTTTATGATTTCTTGAACACCATGGAAAAGCAGTCACCATTCTGTTTAAAATGGCATCATATTCTGGGTAAGCAGTTTTGTTGTATTTCTTTAACGAAAAGTACCTGAACTTGTAAAGGCAAACGTTGGTTTGCCATTCATTTTTTCCCACTGAAGCTGCCTATGCTGAAACATAGACCAAGTGCCTCTTTGGAAACGAGCTTTAAGGATCTATAGCAAGTTTTCTGAATATCTTTATTGCTAGGAGTTAAAAGATAAGGTACATTAAAAGTTTAGAAAATTAATTTGAGCAAATGGCAATTCATGAATCAGGCAGTGCCAAACCAAAAGTGGTCCGGAGCTCCAACAGAAGAGTTTGAAGGGAAGGCTTTCATAGGGCGACTGAGGAAGCACAGTAAAGAAATTGGTTGGGTGGTTGAAGTTTGAGTAGTGCCTTATTTGGATTATCCTGGTAGAAAGTATCTGATTATATAATTAATGATCAGTTGACCATTCATGATTGGCCAAGCTTAAGTTTCATTTAGTTTAAGTGGGAACCTGGGTGTTGGATCCATCTCAGCATACTTTCCATTAAGTTATTTTAACACGAGGTAATTATTGGTAACTTGAGATGGGTTTGGTTTTTAGAAATCAGACATTTTTTACCAAGGCTGGAGAATAAGATCAAGCGGAGTCATGTATCACATTTGGTCAAAAGCAAAGTGAGTTCGGAAAGAATTCCAAAGAGGAATTCTGGAAGGTTTTGCACATTGGCCATTTGAAGTTTGATGATTATTGAGGTGTACAAATTCTAATATACTTGTTAAAAATCACATCATTTCTTTATAGTTACTCATCCCAGTTTCCCCCTTCCTCCTTCTGAAAGTATTAGAGAAAGAAGACAGCCCTTTCTCTGTGTCCCTGCTGAATTCTGTGTTTTGAGTGGTCAGAAGAAATGCCTTGCAGTGGCAACCCTGGCAGCCCCATCTCCACGGGCCAGGTCAGGCAAAACGGAAAGGAAACAGATGCATTTTACTGATTTGAGTAACTGCCAGTCCGGTTTGTGCGTATAGGCTCAGAAGAGCTCATTCAAGAGGAGCAGCCATCGCCTAGCTTAGATTCTAAACGGTCTGGGGGAGTTGTTTTGCTTTGCTTTACTATGAACTATCAAAAGGTCACCATGTGCTTTGAGAATGAAGACTAAAAGGGGAAGGTGCTCAGTACTTCATTCCTTGCGTTTCACCTGCCTGTCTTCAAATTCCCACTTTCCGGATTCACGTTGAAAGGTGAATTTGTTCAGCCTGGATTAATTTACAGGAATAGTTTTCATTGCTCTGTGAATAAAAGGTGTTGCCACTTTATGCCGTAACATGGATTCTCAGTTTAAGAACCCAAATGCTTTAAAATCATTTAGTTGTAATATATAGAATTTTTAAAGCCCAGGGCAGTTTTTATTAATTTTACAAATTCTTATGCTGTAGTAAGGTGAAATACGTTTAAAGGGAAGTGATACACTTTATTAATCACACTTAATGCATTTGGAAATCCGTAGTAGCGAGTAAAGGTGGTAACCCCGACTATCCAGTCCCCTCTGCGCTTGCGGGCAGCTCTCCGCACGAGCCGCTGCCCGAGGGGGGTCGTGTCTCCCGGTCCGCGTGGTCAGTCACGCAGAAGCCACGCTCCGCTACTGCCCGGTAGAGCGCGATGTACTTGGAGGCCAGCCGCGTCCTGGGGACCACGTGTTTCTCCGTGAACTCGGTCTTGTCCAGCTGCTCTTTGCCTTCTGCGGTCAGAACGCAGTTGATGAACGCGAGGGCGTAAGCGCAGCAGTTGTGCCGGTCGCCTTCGTACCTTAGGAGCAGGGACGGGGAGGAGGGAAGGCTGCTCTTTACAGGCTGCCCAGGAACAGGCTGTGAAGCTACTGAAGGACTTTTGTGATGGAAACTGGGCTCCCTGTGTGAGCTGGGCCCGGTGTGTGCGGCCCCCTTGGTTACGCAGTTCTCAGGGCGCTGGCATCGTGGGCCGCTTCTACCCGCTACTTAAGGACAGACAGGCACAGTCTGCCCCCGGTGTTCAGGGTGGTGACTTAGTTGCATGTAAACTGCCAATTCAGAAGACTTAATTTCAATAAAATTCTAGATTTTAGAAGTGAAATTCCATATCTAAGTTTTATGATATACCCCAGTGTCTAAACTTACTTCAAGGGAAACCTCAAAACAGTTTAAAGCCGCAAGTACCCCACACATCTTCTAGAATGTTGAGGGAGTGAGGAATTGAGAAATTAATTTCAGAATTGCTAAAACTAAAAAGAAAATATGGAGCTTTAAATATTTTTACATTTTGAACATTGTTTTCAAAAATCTTTGTTTTAAGGAAATGTAATAGCATGAATTTTGCTGTAAATGTGTACAAATACTTAAATAACTAAAATAACTGAATGGAGTACGGGTTCTAGTCCTTTCTTAAAATGCTGTGATTTTGGTATATAAATGTATGCTGACCCACCTCTGCAGAAAACCTAAAGTAATTCAACCGCTGTCTAAGTTCCATGACAGGCACTAATACCTCAGTATGGGCTCAACATGAGACTAAACGCAGCTCAGTCCTCTGTGGGCTGAGACGGCATAGGGAACACAGGGGTCAGCTTACGTGGCACGAGTGCCCATGGAGGGTGGTCTTTGCAGCCACGTACCTATGGGGCGGCCAGGCCCCCGAGGTGGAGAAGTCTTCCAGGTACTTGTCCCACCGGTGCATCAGTCCATACATGTCGGGCTGCAATAATGGGACACTTACGCTCTGCTCCCACCCCGTTTCATCTCGCTGGACACCATACATGTTGTAATTATACACAACTCCTGAAAACCAGAACCAAAGTCACACGGAGGCTTAAGGAAAAATGTCCCTCTGTGAAAAAGGGACATCAGAAAATGACAGCAGCCGCCTTGGTAACTATAGTTAAATCCAGGTGGCACTTTCCTGTTATTGTCAGAGAGCAATGAACAATGGGCAGGTAAGAGATTCTAGAATCTCCTTCCATCCATCTAATGAGATTTAGTTAGGCTCTCGCCTGGAGTCAGGGAGGGGTTTATGTAGCCTCAGCGCGTGCACACACACACACACACACACACACACACACACGCACACTCACACAGACACACACTCTCACACAGACATACCCTTATCAGCAAAGCATTTCCTTCAGGGAAACCCACTTCTTGCTCTACCTGCTGTTCAGCACTGTGAGGCTGCCCCCAGGAAACGGAGACAATAATAGGCGCCAGGATAATCATCTCCAAATATTTTTATCAAAGTTCTCTGTTTACAAATCAGTCTATGTTGTTTCCTTAATTCAGCAATAAATTTCCACTGATAAAGATTAGTGGTAAGTTTGACTGCTCATGTGGGTAAATCTGAGTTCAAAAAAGTAGTTGTAGGTTTCTGGACACAGTGTCAGTTTCTTCTGCCTCCAGGGAATAAGGAAAGGCTATTCTCAGACTTCTGCGAGGCCTGTGATCTGAGCCTCACCTGGCTCACCAATTCCAGGCCACAACTTCCTGCGAGTGACTCCACCTGACCCTTCTCCAGTAGACAAGAATGCTTTTGGTTTCAGGGGTTGCAAACTCTGTGCCGTCATAGCTAAATCTGGCCAGAGCAACTGTTTTGTTTAATCTTCACATGCTTTTTTTTTTTAAGCCAAACACTGCAAGCCCTACCACATCCTAAGGTATTATATATAGCCCCTGAAGACTCTAGAATGTGTTGGAGGCTGGACTGAATATAGCATCGGGAAACCAGGGCTGGTGCAGTGGCTCACACCTATCATCCCAGCACTTTGAGAGGCTGAGGCGGGAAGATCGATCGAGCCTAGGAGATCAAGACCAGCCTGGCCAACATAGTAAGACTCCATCTCTACAAAAAATAAAAAAAATTAGCTGGGCACAGTGATGCGTGCCTGTAGTCCCAGCTACTTGGGGGACTGAGGTGGGAGCATTGCTTGAGCCCAGGAGTTCAAGGATGTAGTGAGCTACGATGATGCTACTGCACTCCAGCCTGGGCAACAGAACAAGCCTCTGTCTCAGAAAAAAAAAAAAAAGGATTGGGGAATCTGGGCCTGGGTCCAAATTCAGGTTCAGACACCAGGGATGTATAATTTGGTCAACTCAACCTCTCTGGAACCATCCATTTTTTCCTCTCCTAAAAACCAATGAAAACTTTACAGGTTTTAAAGGCCTTCACCGAGAAAACATTAAATAACTTTCAAATATTTAGTATTATTAGTAATAATTTGGCATAAAGTCAAGTATTTGTCACTTTGGGGGGCAGCGGTTCCCACTCCATGGTGCAATAGGAGACACCAGGGGACGAAGGAATTGCTAATTAAATGTTGCCATGAATATATCTTCTCTAGAAATGCTACTCTCCTCTAACTGGGTGTTGTGGGACGTTTTCAACCTAAAAAAAGGTAAGAAAATGCACTCACCATTTGTGTTAGTTATTCCAACATGGAGATCAGACTTCCCATCATACTCCCTGAAAGAAACAAGGATTTGTTTTTGTGTGTTTGGCAGGAAGAGTCGGTATTGAAGTGAGAAGAGACAGTGGGCCCCCCTCTCGGCTGGGGTCAGAACTCGAATCAGTGTCCAGGTAGGTGGAAGGCCTATTTGAAAGCTGGTTAAGTGAAGAGTACATTTGAGGTAGAAAATATCCCCTGCCCGCAACCCCAATCTGGATTTTCCTGGAACCCCAGCACTGAAGTGTTCTGGAAGGCCACCCTGGGAGAGCACAGATTCAGCCTGACCTCTGGCTGCCAGGGGCTGGAGGTCAGCTGCTGAAGGAGCTCCTCGTTCTCTCCTCCTCAGGCTCCTGTGGCTGGGAGGGTCCTGAGTGCTTCAGTGGACCGCCCACCTTTTCAAAACTGAAATGGCAGCCACCCCTGCTTCTCCCCAACAGTCCTTTCTGAAATTATTCTGTACACGGGATTGTTCATTAATTGTAGAACTCCATGTAACTGAATCTTCATAGACCATCCCAGGCCATCACTTGCTAGTCCTGGGACATTGGGCAAGTCGCTCTCTCTAATCTCAGTTTCCTCATCTGCAAAATGGGAGTATCATAAGCCTCCTAGCAAGCTGCTAGTAAGAACAAAATGCCTAGTGAGTGTCTGCCCCACAAAGGTGTCAAATGAGAGGTAATTTTCAAATGATTAAGCTCCTTTGTCAGACCACAGCTCTGGATGTTTGGTTCCTCCTTAAAGCAAGCAGTCCCAGGCTTTAAAGTGGCCAAGGACACAAGTGGCTGCCCCACCTTCTTCAGAGTGATTTCTCCCAGGTCATCCTGTTGCTGCCACTTTGAGCTTTTTGAGACCCGGTGGGTTCAGAGGTTGAGAACGACGCTGGGATAAACAAACAATCTTCATGGCGGTACCAGCACCGCACGTGGAAGTGCTACCCCAAGATGGCTCCCTGAGCGCATGGCTACGCTTCGTCCCCCACCCAAATTCTAGACACTTCCTCCCTCCTTCCCTCCTTCCCTTCAGTTATTTCTTAGTTGAGCAATAGACGTTTATTGGGTGTCCCCTCTGGGCCTGTCATTTTAGGTGAAGGGCTAAGTGATACTGTAGGAGATGAGATTCCTGACCTCATGGAGTTTGCTCACTTCCGGAGAAGACTTTTTGATTTAGTTCAACAAGTTTTTAATAGACTAATAAGTGCCGTGAAGGTAAAACAAACAAAAAAGCTATGGAATGTTGTATAAGGGTGTGATGGGGCAAGACAACAGCCACCCCTTTCTCATACAGCACATTTGCATAAATTAGGAAAAGCTGCCCCCTCTTCCTGCAGATGCGGTTCTGCACAGGGTGCTTGGCTTGGTGAGTGGAGTGCAGCTGAGTTGCAGCAGCCACCACGGCCTTGGTCGGGCATCTTTGTGTGGTCTACGACCTGCACAACCATATATGGCAACCCTGAGAAATTCTACCCTAGTTATGTCAAAATGCGGGTGATTCCTTTGGGTCACTGCCGATTCACTTTTACCAAGTACATGAAGTTGTCTCAAGGTGAGTTGTGGGAATCAGTACTAAGGGTTTGGAAATTTGAATGAGAGGGAAGGAAATAGTTTGGAACTTGGCCCTAGAGGCTCTAGTAGGCAGGGGGCTATCTTGGGGTGTCTGCAAATCCTGGCCTGAGCACCGGAAGGGATGGGAGGATGCTAAAGCGCATGACCGGTTCCAACACCACCACTTCCCTTCTGCCAATGCCCAGTAAGACCAGGCCTGTCAATAGCACCGCCACATCACAGAATAAATCAATGCTTGTTAAGGGCCAGTCTGAAAGTCCATCATGTGTCGTGTCATTTCTTGAGAGCAGAGCTGTGGCTTGTTCACTGTGACACCTCTCACGCTTCCCACACAGAGCTGCTCAGTGAGGATTTGCTGAATGAACGGATGTTATGGGAAATGAATTCCGAATTTTGACCATTTTATTCCAAAGCTTTTGGAATCCAGCCAGTTAATGACTCTCAGTTAGCATGAATAAGGCACTCCTAATAATTTGGGCTGCATGATGCTGATGAAAGGTGGCAATGAAGCCTGGTTCTGCCAGGCTGTGGAGTTAGGGTCTGAAGCGAACCTGAAAATAGGGCGGGAAGGAGCATGTTGGTGAAACATCATAACTGACGCGTAGGCCAGGTTTATATACTTTATCACTCAGCCTCGCGGCTCCTCAAGGTCGGTGTGGTCCTCATTTTACAGATAAGGAACTGGAGACTCAGAGAGGGTCCTGGAGCCAGTTAGTAGAGCCAGGATGGGAACTGGGGGCTCTGTGGTACCAGAGCCTGCTCTGTCCTCCCTGGACAGCTCAGGGTGCAGTCTATTCAGCACCCAACAGTTTGACCAACACCTTCACTACACTTCGGTTCCTTTCATCTGCATCGGGACCGGAAGGAAATTGATTAAGATAATAAACAGGGAAGTGAGTAGTCTGAAGTGGAAGATTGGAAAATTCCACTAAAGTGGAATTGTTAGAAATTCCACTACCGGGTTTTTTTTCCCTTGCGATCCTTACCTGGGCCCCCTCCTCACCTTCGACCTTGCCCTCATAAATCGCCTGTGGCAATTAGCATACCAGGCTGTAAAAGTAGCTTAGGGCTCTGCCTCACTAAAGTTAACCGTGTTGTGACCGTGCCCCTCCTCCTCTCCTGCCCTGCGACCTTTCCCCTCATAAATCACCTTCAGCAAGTAGTGTACCAGGTTGTAAAGTGGCTCAGGACCCTGCCTCACTAAAGTTAACCCTGTTGTAGCCGTGCCCCTCCTCCTTAAGCAGAGTGTTTAAAAGACTGCAGTGCTCTTTGTCTGGTGCTCAGAATTTGGGGAGAGCAAGTTCCCCTCTGAGCCTTGCCGGCCAGCACATAAAACCTGTATTGCCAAGATCTCTGTGTGTGTCTCTCGGTCTATTCTCGGTCAGCCCTGCCGTAACAGTCAACTCCAATTTTCTTGTCCCAAACCAGTACTCACAAGGGGATAGGAGAGTTAGGAGGGCAGATTTCAAGGAGCGTTAGACTGTGACGGTACGTGGGTGCTGAACACACTCCCTACAGCGCGCACCATCACGCAGTGGCATCCGTGCTCCTGTACAGCCTGCCTTACCCAGGGCTGTCTCAATCCCATCCGCAAACTTCAGAAGGGACAATAAGGCATAATCCTTTCTTTTGAGTTCCGAATTCATTCTTAAAGCCAGTTGGTGTCTACGATGGAAATAGACCAGCTCTAGTCTTCAATTTAACTCACTTCCGTACAAAATGGTGTGTAAGTGTCAGTTCTTCAGGCTCTGTACGTAGGACCTGTTTGCCACAGAAACTGCAAATTAACTGGCAGTAAAGGTATCACTATGATAAGATTAGCTGCTGGGCCATCTTCCCAGTTAGCCTCCTAGCGCATATTTTTCTCTCATAAAATTGTGTGAGCAGGTTTGCTCTGCGTATCTTCTGCATATATTCTTGCACTTAGCATTGCGAGAACATATGCACAGCCCCATCTATATTTATGAAGCCATGAGGCCTGCCTCTCAGGATTTAGGGCCAAAGCACTGGAAAGATTGTCCACCAAACCTTACACTGTATAGTACATATTAGGAAAAGAAAGTCTGAGTGACTAAAACACAGAAGGAAAAGTTTGCACAATTCAATGTAACACTTAAGAAGAACACTGTACCTAAGAAACGTCCCCTGAGTTGGTCTGAGGAGGAAGGAACATTTTTCTTGATGCCCATTGGTAAATGGATTAGTGATGCTAACAGGTGCTTCCTCCAGCTTCCTCGAGCCCATGTCCTGCTGGCACAGGGGGCAGCGTCGGGGCACGCTGAAGCTGTAGATGGATTTCTTACAGTGGCTGAATTTGATTAAAGGCTTTCCGACCTCTGCGCAGTGCATAGCTTTCACCTCCGGGGCTGCTGGGGGAAGTTTCTTCCCATTCCGCATTGTACAGCTGGCAAATGCAGGCTGCCCCAAGTAACCTGACCAACGATGATGTCATCCTGATTGACGGCCCCAGAAGCCAAACCAGGTAGGATTAACCAGTAACCAGGCTGCCCATGAACTGGTTTCTTAAAGAGACAGTTTTCATTTGTGCTCGCTTATTGCAACTGATGACTGCCAGCTCCTAGTCATCCTTGAAAGCCCTACTTCTCTGTGAAACCTTTCTCAGCTTCCCCCAGTCTTCCCTTTTGCTACAGCATTGGATTCATATTTCTACCAGAACTCTGTTATTAGTCATTTTTTTAGCTTTGTTTTTCCCATTAGTCTGTGAGCTTCTTAGGATTGGAGTCTCACCTTTATTTTTGTGTTCCTAGAATCAGATAGATCGTTTTGTTGTTGCATAAATAAATCCTTACTTTAAGGCTATTTTCTTTAAACATTTTATACTGTAGAAGTAATCTTGCTCATAAAAAATTAACAGCACCGTTAGAAATAAGGATAGTGGTTACCCTAGGTGGAGGATACTGACTGGGAGAGGGCAGAGGTGGTTTCTGGGGCTGTCCTGATTCATTATCTCGGTGTTGATTATATTCAGACTGTGAAAAATCATCAAGCTGTGCATTTTACTGTATGCACTATGTTATTTTTCAATTTTAAAATAATTTTAAGCAACTGGACAAAAATATTCCGGAAAAAAAGTAGTGCCCTTTGTTCCTCCCATAACATTTTCTCACCCACCATATTCTACTCTCTGGAGAAAACTAATGGTATGTTAGGTGAATATTTCCACATATTTTGTTAAAACACCAATATTGTTATACTGTATACTGTTTTGAAATTTGTATTTTCCTTTCAACTTGGAAACTTTTTCTCCATATTGGTAATATAGGTTCAGCTCATCCTTTCTGAATCCACCTTTGGTTGTACTACATTAAACCCAAGCCCTATGGATGCCTACGGCTCCCCAGATAAGCAGTTTTTTTGTTTGTTTGTTTGTTTTTGAGACAGAGTCTCGCTCTGTTGCCTGGGCTAGAGTGCCGTGGAGTCAGCCTAGCTCACAGCAACCTCAAACTCCTGGGCTCAAGTGATCCTCCTGCCTCAGCCTCCCGAGTAGCTGGGACTACAGGCGTGTGCCATGATGCCTGGCTAATTTTTTCTGTTTTTAGTTATCCAGATAATTTCTTTCTATTTTTAGTAGAGACAGAGTCTCACTTTTGCTCAGGCTGGTCTTGAACTCCTGGCCTCAAGCGATCCTCCCGCCTCAGCCTCCCAGAGCGCTAGCTGAGATAAGCAGTTTTAAAGGGAGGATCCATAGAGAAGGTGTCATGGCGGGCAAAGGCACTTCAGGAAGGTTATTTCATAACTTGCACTTAAATAAATTACAGTATGCCAAAATGCAGAAAAATGCATCTTCAGTATTATAAAATGAAAATGATCATCAGATTCACAGAACTAGAACAGACCTTGGAAATCATTTCAGCAAACCTTCTCCTGTTACAGTGAAGGCAGACAGGTTATAGCTAGACACTTAGCTCAGGTGACACGGACCTGAGATGGTTCATTATTAATATAAACCACACTGCAATTGTTTGTTAGATTGCTTGAGTGACCCAAGCTACTTTCAACTGAGAATATATTCATGTTCATGACACCAACATCAAGAGGTATTGTTAATCTCAGGAAAAGGGATTGAGGTACCACGCCTTAATAAACTTTTTTAATACATCAGCAGTTTTTTCCACACAGGCGTCTTCAATTCTTTCTTACCTTACCTCTATTTTTAAAAATATTGTTATAAAACATAGCTACAGAATGCTACACAAATGTTTAGTGTAATTATTTTCATGTCAACCTTTTATGACTACCGACACGGGGCAAAACTAGAATTTTCCAGCCACCTCTGAAGCCCCTCCAGTGTCCATCCCAGTTCGAGACCCCCTTCCTCCCTCCAAAAGTGACCCCCTCGCCTCACCTACCCTTGTCGCTGGTCTCCAAGCCTCTGGGGTTAGACCCTGCTGACGCCTTTCTCCTTCCAGTTCTGCTCCGCAACGTCTTCCCGTGGAGTCTCCTATAGTTTCAGGCACCCTTCCTTCCAGCCCTCACCCGATCTATGTTTCTCTGTTAGTTTATTTTTTTCATTTTCTTCTAAAATCTGTCTTTTTTGCAGAGACACTCTGGCTGGTGGCTTTTCTCATCCACCATCTTGAACTCCTCTGCCAGGCTTCTTTCATTTAGCATGTTTTCAAAGTTCATCCATGTTGTAGCATGTTTTGGTTATTTATTCATTTTTATGGCTGAATAATATTCCATTGCCTGGATATGTCACATTTTGTGTATCCATTCATCAGTTGATAGACATTTGAGTTGTTTCTACTTTTGGCTATTATGAATAATGCTGCTATGAATACATTTCATATGTTTTCAATTCTCTTGGTTATATAGCTAGGAGTGGAATTGTTGGGTCATGTGGTAATAACCCTATGTTTAACATTTGGAGAAACTGCCAAACTTTTTTCCTAAGTGGCTGCATCATTTTTCATTCCCACTAGCAATTTATGAGAGTTCCAATTTATTCACAATACCAACACTTCTTGTCCATATTTTTTTTTTTTTTTTTTGGAGACAGAGTCTCACTCTGTTGCCAGGCTAGAGTGCTGTGGCATCAGCCTAGCTCACAGCAACATCAAATTCCTGGGCTTAAGCAATCCTTCTGCCTCAGCCTCCTGAGTAGCTGGGACTACAGGCATGCGCCACCGTGCCCGGCTAATTTTTTTTCTATATATTTTTAGTTGTCTGGCTAGTTTCTTTCTACTTTTAGTAGAGACAGGGTCTCGCTCTTGCTGAGCCTAGTCTTGAACTCCTGACCTCAAGGGATCCTGCCACCTCGGCCTCTCAGAGTGCTAGGATTACAGGCGTGAGCCACCTCACCTGGCCCCGTATTTCTTATTTAAGCCATCCTAGTGGTTTGAAGTAGCATTTCATTGTGGTTTTGATTTTCATTTTCCTAATGACTGATGATGTTGAACTAATGATGATTCATATAATTATTGGCCATTTGTATACCTTCTTTGAAGAAATGTCTATCCAATGCTTTGCCCATTTTTAAATTGGGTTATTTGTCTTTTTATTGTTGAGTTGTAAGAGTTCCGTGTATGCATGCTGGATATATATTCTATATATATTCTAACCATTGTCTTTTTACTTTTTGACAATGTCTTTTGAAGCACAAAATTTTTAAATTTTTATGAAGTCAAATTGATCTATTTTTTTCTTTTGTTGTTTGTGCTTTGATGTCCTAAGAATTCATGAAGATCCAAGATCATGAAGATTTATACCTGTATTTTCTTCCAAGAGATTTATAGTGTTATATCTTACATTTAGGTTCCTGATCCATTTTGAGTTAATTTTTGAGTAATGTGTGAGGTAGGGATCAAACTTCATTCTTTGGCAAGTGGATATTCAATTGTTCCAGGACCATTTGGTGAAAATACTCTTATTTCTCTATTTTACGGTCTTAGCATCCATTTTTTTCTTTTCTTGCTTACAAGCTAATTGGCACCTTTTTCAAAACTCAACTGACCATAGATGTGAGGGTTTATTTCTGGACTGTTAATTCTATTTCATTGATTCTATTTCATTTCAGTGGCCCATAATGGGCAGTCCATGATGGGGGTGAGGGGCTAGCTGCTAGGGTGGTAGCCACCATAGGCACTGTGGTGTCATTTGCAGAAAAGCCTAGTACAGTCATCTTGGAAGCAGTTAAAAACTAAGACCTTGGCCAAGTGCAGTGGCTTACACCTGTAATCCTAGCACTCTGGGAGGCCAAGGCAGGAGGATTGCTTGAGCCCAAGAGTTTAAGGTTGCAGTGAGCTATGATGACACCACTGTACTCTACCCAGGGTGACAGAGTGAGACGCTGTCTCAAAAAAAAAATCTTTTTAAATAATAAAAACAGGTGGAAATAAATAGCAAGATGGTATATTTAAATCCAACTATATTACATTTAATGTAAATGGACTAAACACTCCAATTTAAAAAACAAAGATTATAATGCTGTATTTTAAAGTAAAACAACTATATATTATCTACAAGATATACAATTTAGATATAAAATACAAAGTAGATTAAAAATAAAAGGATGGAAAAAGATAAACCATGAAAATACTATCTGAAAGAAAGCTAGTATGATTAATATCAGGAAAAAGTATGCTTTAAAACAAGAAGCATTTCTAGAGATAAAGAGGAACATTTCTTTTTTTAAAACTAGCACTCTTAAAAACATCTTTTATGTTGTGCATCTTTACATAGTGTATTACATGCACCACAATGTGAATACATTTTTTCACTGAAATATTCCTGTCCTGATTCACATGTGCAACTAGCACTCTCAGAAACACTTTTTATACAGCCATCTTTACATGGCATATTCCATGAACCACAATGTAGTAAACCCATTTATTCACTGATATAACACTGTCCTGATTCACATACACAAATAGCACAAAGAGGAACATTTTTAAATGATAAGGTTTTGACAGAACAGAAGGTAGAGAAATTCTAAATTTGTTTGAACCTAAAAACATAGCTTCATATATAAAGCAAATGTTGAACAAACTTAAAGGAGAATAGACAATTCATGTTGGGTTCACATTAGAAATAAGAAAAAGATAACTAGAAAAACGCTCAGTTTGGAAATTAATCAAGACACTTATTAAATAAATAACTTACGGGTCGGCCGGGCGCGGTGGCTCATGCCTGTAATCCTAGCACTCTGGGAGGCCGAGGCAGGCGGA